TACGTTTCAGCCGCCAGCCACATATATCACAAGTACAAGGAGGATCCTGCTGCGCTGGAGGTGTTGAAGGCGGTTCCTGCCAACATGTACCTTGGAGGTGCCGACACGGTGGGCCACAACTTGTCATGACCGAGTTCCAATCCTCATGTTGCACTGCATCCGGCGTCTGAAGACCGTATCTTCTCTCACATTGCTGTTCATGGCCATGGCCCTCTACCCCGACGTCCAGAAGAAGGCGCAAGAGGAGCTTGACTCAGTCCTTGGAGGGTCTCTTCCCACTTTCGCCGACAAGGACAGTCTTCCATATACATCTGCGTTGGTGAAGGAAGTATTCCGATGGTACCCTGTCTCCCCTACTGGTGAGTCGCCAAGTTCGTACGCTTTGAGGACCTTTGCTTACCGCGGTCATGATCTTAGCGACACCACATGCGGTGACGGAGGACGATGTGTACGAAGGTATGTTCATACCGCGTGGTAGCACGGTGAGTAGTCGTGACGTGACACACGTTGCTGTTTACTGAGGCGTCCGACCCCATAGGTGATTGGAAATGTATGGGCAATCCTCCACGATCCGAAGCTTTATCCAGACCCAGAGTCATTCAATCCTGCCCACTTCATCTCCGCTGATGACGGCGGAAGCTATCCAGCCGAGGCGTGCACCAACGGCGAGCCACCCTTCCCCCATGCAGTGTTCGGCTTCGCGCGCCGCGTATGCCCTGGACGTGCACTGGCGATGCCAAGCGTTTGGCTCACCGTTGCCAACATCCTCTCAATGTTCGAGATCGCTCCAGCGAAGGATGAAAATGGAGAGGATGTGCCGATTGTGCAGGCGTGGTCAAGTGGCATCGTTGGATACCCTGGGCCCTTCGAATGCGCGATTACGCCGAGGAGTGAGAAGGCGCGAGAGACGGTTCTGGCTACAGCGGGAGAAGAGTCAGTATAGAGGATCTGACCCGGTCATCTTGAAGGGAGCTTGGTACGAGAAGAAGATCGAGAATACGTTTCGATTGGATGTGTCAAGGGCAACAGTCAGTGCAGGTATAAATTACAGGTAGTGTCCCGAGCGCGGCGGTCGTATGGAGTACACATAGAGCATGCGTGGACGACGGTCAATGCCGATGTAGTGAAAGTGTGACGGGAAATAGAGCAGTGCGATGTGCGTGAGGGCTTTGTGGAGAGCAACGATGTGATGAGGATGAAGCAAAGGGGAATGATTTGTCCAATGCGGAGAAATGCCGTAGAATGTACCAACATGAAGGGGGTCATATGTGGGCCGTGGAGGTATATGTATGATCATGGGTCTGTGAAGCTTGGTGGTGAGGTGCAGTGTGTGAACTAGAAACGTGCGCAGGGCCATGCTGGGAACCGATGGATATGCAAGCGAAGACTTGGATGGACGATGAAGCGAAATTTAGCGGGTGTCAGAAGCCGAAGCTGTACTTGGAGTCCCCAAAGCACGGGGCCTCCATGCCTGTAGGACGGGACGCCGCGGCGAAGCGCTGAGACGAAGGCGAAGGCGTTGAGAACGTGAATGCGGAATAAATGAGTTTGCGCTCAGGCGTGGAGAAAGCGGCGTCCTCCTTCTTCGCAACGGCTTTGCCTTTCTTCCTCTTAGTCGTCTTCTTCATCGCTTTCTTTGCAGAAACCGGGAACGTGAATACAGCCGTCTTTGGCGTGATAGGAAGCGGATTTGAGATTGGCGCGGGCTTGGGTGGAGACGCGGCGTCGGATAGGGTTGTCTCTGGCTTCGGCTCGATAGAGATCGAGGCTAGCTGTTGTAGGCATTAGAGAATGAATATGTACTGAATGGGAAGAATAGTGCTAACAATGGCCGAATCGGGAGGCTGGGTCTGGGTCTGAGCCGCGACCACAGACGACGCAACTTCAAGTGAGATTTCGTCGAGGGCACGAGCCAGGTCCTCCATCGCCAGTGCGGTACCGCTTGATTGAGTACTGGCCCCTTCAACCGCAGTCTTCGAAGGAGAAGCCTCGATGGTGGGGGTCGCCTTCGATACGGAACTTGCAGGCTCGGGTTCCTCCTCCACCCTGGGCAGGTCCTTGAGCGTGCGCACACGGCCAGCACTAACAAGGCGCCTTGGCTTCTTCGTCAGAAGCTTGCCGTCTTGTCCGGAGGCCGCAGCACGTTTGCGAGGTTCGACTTTACTCTCCTGCGCGGAAGCATCCACGGCAGGTGCCTTGCCCTTCTTGGCGGCAGACGCGGTTACAGGTGGGATATATGACTTCGTGGCAAGAACGTTGCTTTTGCGTTTCTTGGCTGTTGTCTCAGAGGATGTGGTGGGATTCTCGCCGGTGACGGGGTGCAGGTTCTCCTTCAGGGCATCTGCCGTGGTCGACGTGGTCGAGAGCGTGACCGGGGGCTCATTTGACTTAGGCGCCGCCCGAGCGGGCTGGTCGACGAATACGGTAAAGCTGCGAGAAGATGACATGACCCGAGCAGCCGCCGAGGGAAGTTGATGAGCGTCGAGAGCAAGTCGCGTGCCTCGTTCCGCAACGTCCGAATTTCGAACCACCACGCGATTCGTGACCAGACGCGCTGGTCACGGCCGCAACCCAAGTCGTCGCGTCGCGCACTCCTCTTTTCTTCTCTTGCAGCGACATGTAGTGCACCGGCGGCCTTAGCCAGTCAGCTTGCTTGGAACAAAATAAATACAAGCCTCACTCACTTTGCTGACGACTCTTCCTTCACTCGGAGTAATCAAGACCGTCGCGGAGTCCTCTCACCAAGCATAACCCTCCCGCAAGACAAATCGAGAGGCGCGCAGCTTATTCCTGATATCGAATCCGTTGAATATGCATTCATGCGATGTGTTACGCGAAGTTATACCTGAGCCGTACCTACGTGGTGTTGTGAACGACCAGAGGGACGGCCGCCCCGGGGAATACCGTCCGCGTCTCAGACGGGAGCTGTGCGCATATCGCGTAAACTTGCGCAGGCTTGATCCTGTCTACGACATGTGTTGGAATGGGCGCCTTGAAGAAGCCCTTCACTTGCTATCTTCGGATCGTTGGAGGCAGGGTTCACCGTGCGATTATCTCGCTAGGCCCGCCTTCCATTTCTTCGGACCATCACACGCGTACAACGCCAGTTGGATGAAGACGATTAAGCCCACTCACACCACTCATCTAACATGCTATTGCCTACAAGCATAGGGCCGGAATTTCTCTGCGATTAGCACCCTATCCGCGCTGATTTGGGCGGCTTCCAAGACTGCGGCTGGACCTTGACGATACTGTGCCGGCTTGCCAGCGCGAACTCCGTCCAGGGAGTCTGGATCTAGCCCTTCAGACCTGCGTCACTCCAAGACCTGCCCTCGCTTATACGTCTCTTTCGACCTTCCACGTTCCGACTTCGACGTTATTGACCTCATTAAACATCCGTCAATTAGGGGCACGCGTTCAGCCCGGCGCCCAGATCATCCTGCGATCAGCGAGGAAAGGTCATGTCTAACACGCACCCGCAAGCATGCATACACGTTGCGGTGCGATACTTAGTAAAAGGGCGTTAGCGGATACTTCACCTCTTCGCTCCCCTGCCCGCCTCTGCGCTCTCCTTGGCGTTCATTGCCAGCGGCCCCGCTCGACGACCTACTTTATTGCCCGTTGTGACGACCCTCTGTTTATTATCTTGCTATGTCTTCACGTCCCGCTCAACAGTCGCCGCCTCCCGTCGGAACGCGCATCGATGATGGCGCAATAGAGCTTACATCCGTCCTGGGCTATGGTGGCTACGGTGTCGTCTACCGCGCAGTCGACGTTAATCACAACACCTTCGCTGTCAAGTGCCTCATCCACTCCTCGTCGCGCTCAGCACAACGACAAAGGCGCTTGCACTTGCAAGAGATCACGCTCCACGAGCTCGTCTCCGCGCACCCCCACGTTGTCACCCTCCATCGAGTAATCGAGGAGGATGGCTTCACCTTCATCGTCATGGACTACTGCCCCGACGGCGACCTGTTCTCGCAGATCCTTCACCATCGGCGGTATCTTGGCCACGACGCGCTCATCAAGCACGTGTTCCTGCAGTTGCTAGACGCCGTCGGCTACTGTCACGCAATGGGCGTCTACCACCGCGACTTAAAGCCGGAGAACGTCCTGTGCTTCAACAGCGGTCTCCGCCTCGCGCTCACCGACTTTGGGCTCGCGACCACCGACCGCACCAGCGATGAATTCCGCACTGGCAGCGTGTACCACATGAGTCCAGGTGCGTGCCGCGCTAATTCTTACCTTTGACACGCCTCGTTTTTTCTGACGCCGAATCCGATAGAATGTCAGGGCGGTGCTTTCGCGCCTTCCGGGTCGTACTCGCCTCCTTACAACGACATCTGGTCGCTGGGCATCATTCTGCTGAACCTCATCACCGGAAGGAACCCATGGAAATCCGCCAGCGCGTCCGACCCGACGTTCCAGGTGTGCAAGCTTCGAAAGCGCGCGGGCTTTTGCTGATTCTCGTCCCCTTCACCCTAGGCCTATCTTCAAGATCCCGTCGGCTTCCTGCCGTCCGTCTTGCCCATCTCGGACGAGGTTAACGAGATCATGCTGCAAACCCTTGACGTTAATTGGCGCTCGCGCATCACGCTGAACGAACTTCGCGAGGCGATCAAGGGTGTTCACACGTTCTACGCCGAGGACGTCGTATTCGAAGGCAGCATGGCACGCTGCGCGTGGGAAGTTGGCGTCGACATCGGCGGCGAAACTGAGCCGGAGGTCATCGACGAGAAATCTGTACCCATCCCCGCCAACGTCGCACAGCAAGAGCCGGTGCACTCAGTCATCCAGTCCACCTGGAGCGCCGACTCATCGGGCTCGCCCGACCTCGACTTCGCTGACGCTGCTGAGGTCGAGAACGACTTTGAGGATGGCGACGAGGCTGCGTGGGCTGTGTACGAGCGTGAAGCGCGCTGGAGTCGCGACGACACGAGCCTGCGTTCCAGGACACCGTCGATGATCTCGGCTTCTGGAGACCCCGCAACGCCTTTGTCCCACTCGTTCTCGATGTACTCTCACGCAAGGACAAGTTCCTACGCCTCTGCTCGCCCGGCCGGGTCGCCCATGCTTTCTGTGGACCCCTTCTCCAAAGCCGGTGGAGAGAGCTTCATTGGTGGCGACCTCGACGCCTCGACCATGCATACCGCACCGGAGAGTCCGAGCATCTACGCAAGCTCGTTCTTCATCCCCAGTCCCGTGGAGGCTAAGGGGCCTCATCCCTTCCAGGCGCCCTTCGAGGTCAAGCTCTCCGCGTATGAGTACACGCGCGAAGACAGCGTCGGCTGGGCGCCAACGGCCATGCACACTCGCGCCCCTGAGTCTGCCGCGCGCGATGAGCTCCCGGATATGGAGTTCCACATCTCTCCGCCCATCTCTCCCCTATCGATGTCCCCGGGGAGCCCCATCGTGGTCGATAGCCCCTCAGAACAGCGAACGGTCTGGCCAGGGCCGGCGCACTCCTCCGCCCCGAGCACGCCGTCTACTCGCCTGCCGTTCCCCATTTCCCCGCTGGCGTCGAGCCCGGCATCATACCGCGTCGCTCCGCCACACCGTGAAAATAAGCGCTCGACCCACTTCTTCCTTCCCATGCGCTTCGTCTTTTCGCCGACGCGCGCGCTGCTCCCTCCGGCGCCCGGACCGGCACCAACCGTACCCCTGCCGCCGACACCAACTCCTCGACGCGCTACGAGCCCCGGCCCGTCGTCGCGTCTTGTGCTTCGCATCCCGCGCACGCCTGAGGCCGAGCCGGAGTCAATGGCTGGCAAGCCGACGCGTACCCGGCGCAGGACGCCGCTCCGTTCCGCACGCGACTGGTGGCTTGCCGGCAAGCGATTCGCGGCCGCGGTCGCTGCATGAGGAGCGTGTGTCTCGGTGCCCGTCTCATCGCTTACGACCGCCACGACGCCGAGCTAGACATCCTCGGCATGCCCATCTCACTTTCACGTACTGGTCTCGATCACTGCATTTCTATCACGCCCGTCATCCACGCCCATCCACTCTATACATAGGTTCCGGTTCAACCTCACCAACGTATCATCATCATCCTCTCCATCGTCATCATCGTCGCACGACTAACTTGCATTAACATCTCGGGACCTTGTCGCACACGCACTTGCACATCTGTATGATTATTGCGCTTCATCCCATTCGTCTACCCCTCTATCTGGTCTTTGTTGTATGTATGCGCTGTGGTGTACTTGGCTGGCCTGGGCGCCCTGCGTATTTTTCCTTGTTTTCTCCCAGTCACAATGGGAACCCTTCTGCGTCGCCGATAGGGCGAGCATGCATTCCTTACACTGGTGGAGATCAACATGAAAATATGGCAAGAGATGAAGAGTCAGTACACGCGCATACAGATAGGACGCAGTCAGGAAGCAGCCTGTTTGCGGGGCAAAGCCTGTGATCATACCGACCCAGTCCAACTTCGAATCTCCGATATCTACCCTCAATGACACGCACTGTATTCGGTGTGTACGGACATGAGAGGAAGGCGTTTGCTCGTCACCTTAATGTCCGGGTTTCCATGCATCCCATGTTGCTGCTATCCAAGAGTACCGATGTCATAGGCGACGCACATTACCATAGCCGACTAGTTGTCGAACCGTTTGTGGAACACTGAAGATAGTAGACTGGTGTCCCTCACAAGGAAGCATGTGAAAGCAATGGACATTATGAAGATGACGCGTAGAATAGTATGATGTATGCGTAGATGCGACTACCGCACGACAAGGTCGCGGATCTTGCGTCCGCGTTCGCGCTGGAGCTCCTGCTTCCCCCGCACGCCCTGGCCCTTGTCCAGCTTATGCCCTGGACCACCAATACCGTCTCCCATGGCGTGTGGTGCGGCTCCGCTTTGCAGCATGCGGAACGTGAGCTTGATCACGTTGATAGGGTTGCGGCTACCCCAGACCTTGGCCGATATATCCTTGATACCAGCCGCGGTACAGATACGATGAATGTTCGGGTTGCAGTGCAGACCGAAACCGACGGGGCGAGGACGGAGGATGATGCGCGTCGCACCAAGCTTGCCGTGCATCTCCGTCCAGATCGTACGGCCTTCAAAGCGGTCGACATAGTCCATTGTGCGAAGCGCCTCGCTCTTCGCGCGGGCAATAGCGAACTCGGTACGCTCGTTCTTCGCGTTTCCGTACCCGACGAGACCATTGCCGTTACCGACGATAATGAGTAGCCCGCGGCGAGCGATCTTGCCCTTGCCGCTCTGCTTCACGACGCGACGGTCGATAGCACGGTAGATCTTGAGGTTGCGAATCTCGCTAGCCGTCCATGCCACGTTTGACGCTTTGCTTGCCGAATCCGACTCGTCGCGTTCCCAGGGGTGGTCCTCCGCCAGGTCTTTGCCCTCAGCAATAGCACGACGCTCCTCCGCGATATCCGTCGCAATTTCTGGGTCTGTGTCGTCCCAAACGCCAGGACGGCCGTGACGCGCCTCAATCTCGTCGCGCATTCGGGCCTGGGCGGTAAAGATGGACGGGTCGTTCCGGATGGTGACAGTTCCCGTATAAGGAGAGCGAGGGTCCCGATTGAGTGGCAACGTCTGCTTGAGGTCGTAGATAGGTTCTGGAAGCGACAAATCCGGGAAATGCAGATTCCGTTCGAAGCGCCCGGAGCCGCCGCCACTCGAGTTCGTGACGTGCTTGATTTCGGCCAGCGACGCGTCAAGCTCGCCCTCGCCCCAGTCCTCGCCGTACTCCTCGTCCATCAACTCCTCGACCAACTCCGGGTTCTCGCCCTGCAATGCCTCGTATTTTCCCAGAATTTCGGCTTTGACCTCCGCGGGCATCTCGTCTGCGCGTTCCATGTACGGGAAGGCTTCGGCAAAGCGCCGGTCAAGTTCGGCAAGATATGTAGGGTCTGAGAGCCGTGCAGCATTATCACTAGACTCGGCTCGGGGTGCAGGGCTGGCGTTGGTGGAAGAAGGCGTAGAGTAGTAACGTGCCAGCGCAAGGCGCGTATTTTGGGAGACACGTGAAGCAGACAATGCGCGCGCGGCAATATGCGAGCGCAGCGCTAGCTGACGTGCGAGAGAGGCCATAGTCGCTGAACTGACCGGCGAGTGAAGCACCGAGCACGACGCGGTGAACGTCAAGCTCGAAATTGCGCTGGCGCGCTCATGTCGCGGTGCACGTGGTTCCCATCACCGAACGGTAACCGAGGTATCGAGTTTACCCAGAGCTTGTCCTCCTCCTTCCATGATTGCCTCAATGCCGACGTCGAGTCATGCTATCGAGGCTTCGTCGTCTACCGATGGTCAGGAAACCACTGTGCTGACAGAAGCGCCAGTTCATGCAGATGAGGACAATCTGCTGTACATACTTATGCAGACAGTCTATCGGGTTCTCGCCCGCAGGAACTTGACACTGTATCTGTGTCGCGAGATCTACCCTTCGCAGCTTGGGATTCGCGTGCGGAACATTACGCCGTCCGCCGTGTCATTGAACGAAGTTGCTGTATCAAGAATACGCACTGCGTTCTCACCCGACGGCAAGGTGGAGGCCATGCGGCACCGAGGGACTTGAAACCAACTCTCATCTTCGCTTGATCTTCGCCATCGCCATCCAACTTCTTTGAGATGCAAACGCCACAAGTGCAATACACATGCGCTGTATGTTCTCGAATAATCGCGGGTCACGACAACCCCGACTTGCTACGCCGGCAATAAGTTATCACGGGAGCTTGTACTGCAGACTGTGCTAGGTAATCGACACGTGTACGAAGTTCGCTCCCAGCGACACCATATACGCAGCAGATTTGCTCGCCGGGCAAGTGAGGCAAGCAAAGCTTCCAATGCAATCTATTGATCCGTGTGTATAAACTTCATCAGTGTTGTATTGGTCACTTGCTAGCCAGGGCACTGGGCTCGGGGTCTTGGTGACCTGACAGTGACACCCCTCAAAACCTCACCCTTGACTCTAACGAGACCCCGTTCACTGTGGAAACGCCACTGCTCCCTAGTACAACGTGCCTTTAGATCTGGCGTACCGAAGCTGTATGTTCCTTCCGTATACATAAGCAGCTGTAGAGATCTTAAACGGCGATAACGATCGATACAGTGCCAGGTATTTTCCAAAAGATAGTCACCAGTCTCGCGGGTATCACTCATCAATACATGCCATGCCTCACTTCTACTCGGCACAAAACGTACGGCAATTATCATTTCCACAACGGAAACTCGGGGTCATGGGTCTATAGGGTCTACATGTCCTTTATTCACGTAACGTAAGACATGGACTCGAGAGCCAACCGCGATGATACTATACTACATATCGATGCGCCGCGGCGCCCCTTCCACGCTCTTTCTCCGCAAGAGTCTGTATGTCGTGGAGCTTAGTGAGAGGCACGCTTCGGATTCCCGAGCAGTAGTCTGAGCAGTAGTCCTGGATGGTCCCTGACGGCCCGATGAGCTGGGCATATGGAGTATAGCCCTGTGCGTCTTGATCTTGCAGGATTGCGATAGGGTTGGCTCTGTGTACATGTGAGTTGCGAGGATCCTCGTAGCCGTGATTGGGAACCAATCTGCCTCTGTCATGTAATTTGTTCGAGCAAAGTTTCAACCCCAAACATCGAATAAAGACAAAGACAGTACGGAAAACCCACTCGCTGTCATGGTTCTTTGTTCGGCTGTCATATATGCCGGGTCGTGCGAGTCCGACATACGGGGCATTGTAGCCTTTCCTTGTGTCAGAACCTCGTTTGTCAGTGACATGCCTATCGCGTGCAGACTAGACTATAACGTCAAAAGTGAGACCAGATTGCAAGAATCAGCGAGTCTCGATGACTGTCGCTCTAACAGTCTCAGACGATAGCCTCATGTCGTACGATGTGGCGCAAGGCATGGCGATCCAACTCAGTGACAGGCAGGGAGATAGGAGAAGAAGCTTGCTCATCAGAGTAAATTGCGTCTTATATGGGTTTGAATATTGTCTTCCCGGGATGAAATTTGATTGAAATTTATGAGCGTTCCGACAAGCACGGCAGCAAAGAGGCGCTGAAGCGCGTGTGATACGTCGGTGAGTGTCAGATTGCACATAACTGCCGGAGATACGTACCTGTGTTGGGCGCCAAGTTTTGAACGTGTTGGTATAAATCGGAGGCATTAGAGGCATACTGCCCCTTAGCCCTCGCTGAATCCTGAAAACCATGTCTTCGGAGTACCAGGAAGGCAGTGAGTACGCACTCTTTCGCTCAGCGACTGTGTTGTCTCTTGTTAACCATATCACCCAGTCGACTATATCATGCTCCTGAATAATAATCTCGGACGCACTAGACAACTGCAGGGTTTTCAGTGGCAGTTGACACAAAATGGCCCACCGAACGCACCGGTACATCATGCGATAGCTTTACGTGAGTTGGAATAGTTTCCACCCGACTTGGTCGCCACGCTATATGAGCTGATTAGGGTTTAGTCAATGGGCAAGTGATAGGTCACAGCGAGGGAAAGTCGAGGAACGCCGCCAAGAGACGGGCCGCGTTCTTTGCCTTGGTACACCTCAGACATCTTTGAGGGTTGCGGCAATACGTGTTGAAACCGTTTGAACGGCGCAAGGGGTGGATATGCGCACAAAAGGATGGCGTCGGAAGACCACGCTGTATTCATCTTGGCTAGAACGTTGTATTGCATTGCAAGCCATTTGTACAGTACATCATTGTAGAGACTAAAATAAGCGTGAGTGGAACTCCTAGGCGTATCGCTCGCACCACAGTTGACACCCACATCCAGGTGCCATAGGCGTAGCATGATGAGTGGTCGATCAACGGGTGACCATATAATAAGCTTTATAGTGGCGAGCCCGGCACGGAGGGAGCAACTATGAGGCGGCATCATAGTTACTTTACGGCATAGCGGGCCACTCGGCACTCCGAGAGCGTACTCAAGCTTGGGGCGAGGCCAAGATGAGATACCATTGCAATTTGTAATGTTTGGATGATCGGTCCTGGTACTTTAAGTAGGTGCCATACGCCGGATCCAACCTGTCGCTTGCGCGTAGAGGTCCTCGTCTTCGAACGGGTCGTAAAGAACCATGTCGGCTGAACGAAACTGAATGGGGGGCACAGCGAGGTGTTCACTGAGATGTGTCCGGGCAGGAGACTTCCGACGGGCGCCTGCAACCGCGTTAAACCAGAGCAATGGAGCGCTCAACTGGACCAAGATAGATCATCGCAGATTGCAGAAAGACTAAAGCACGCAGCGACAGGAAGACGTCGTCGATGACATCCACAATATCTGCTGGCGTTCAACTGCGTGAACGAGGAGCATCAGCGGGCCGTGGATAGGGTTGCGGTTGAAATGGGCCGACCACGGAGACAAATTACAGAAGCCAATAGCGAAGTGGCTGTCCATAGACTCGACGTCCCGATATCCGAGAGTCAAAGCGTGAAGTGAGTCGTGTTTCGGAGGACGAAGTCGGAGACGAGATGTTTGTCGGGCCAGTACGGGGGGTGCCGGAAGCGACGGAAAAGCCCATTGTCCTCTTCGGCGCTTCGAGGTTGATATCGATGTTCATTGGTGACATGTGACGGCTTCTCCGGGACCGAACGGATGGTATAGCGGGCGAAAAGCGGTAGGACTAGGAAGAGGCAAGGTATTTCTGGCGACGGTGATGAGGGCGAGTGGAGAAAAAGGCTCGCGGGTGGTCCATCATCGTGACATCATTGCGTGAAACCCGACGAGCGGCACGAGCCCGGGACGCAAACCAACATCAGCTTGGCCATTCGTAGCTTCTTCCTTGCCTTCTTCGCCGAATTAGATGGCCGTGGCAGACATCCTGCTCGCGCGCCCGCACACCTGCAAGACTTCTATCTCAAACCCTACTGTCAACCCTCCATTCATGACCTCGAAATTCGTACCTGAGCCCTGGCTCCCCGCGCAAGCCAAGGACTCGCGACCGTCTACCTCCTCGAGTTTCGTAACTGCTCGTCCGGATTCGCCTAAACACGATTTACTCGATGTTGACCATGATATTGCACCGTCGCTTGAACGTGAACATCCGTCACCTCCGCCCTCTGTCGTACCGGTGGAGCCAGATTGGCTCGCCCGACTGGACAAGCTGCCGACGTCTATACCGGCATCGACATCTGCTACCACAGACCGACGTGTGTATTCCCTGATCTTCACAATACCCAGTACTTACCATATGGTATATATCATTCAGTTGCCGCTCGACATACCTCAGGAAGTGTCGTTACACCGCCCCCGCCATCGACATCAGCGAAGACCGACTCGCACGCGCCTGACTGGCTACCATCTCGTTCGAATGGCACGACCTCACACGATGATGTACCGCCTTCAGCGAGCTCGGACAAGCGGTCGCCATCTGCGCCCAACGGTCAGACGCGTGACCAGCCTGCACCTAAGTCTACGAACGGCTCTCATGCAGTACCGCCGTCGCTGAGGCCAGGCTACACTTGTGAGTCCGCTCTGACTTGTCGCGTCCCATTGCTCGAAGGATCGACCATTGACATTCCGTGGCAGCCGTCAAAGCTTCGGCACCGCTTCCGGCGGACAGCTCGGGCGCTCGGCGCGCCGAGGCTCCGCAAGCTTCGTCTATAGCCCGTATGTGACCGTTCAACTTCCTGCAGGACGGGTTCCCTAATCGTGTTGTCGTAGAATCAACGAGTAATGTGGATATACATGGTGCACCACATGGGTCAATATCGACATCTGATCCCTCAATACAGGATGGTGCGTTCATCTCTATTTCTCAGTGATGATATGGAAGAATGTGGGGTTGTGATGCGCCTGCGTTATATGCCTGGAACCTACCGAAAAAGGGCGAGACTGCAATTGAGCAAGCCGTTGATGCATTGGCGCGCGCACACGCGCGGAGATGTGGTCGACGTCGGGCGCTAAACGTGATGTGTCGCATTCAACCGGGCGCTTCGCTTCGCTCGCGTTTTCTCAACACCTCATGTTGAGCGATCGGCTTGGCGGCTAGCAGTAGTATGAGAAGCCATCTATCGCGGTCGCTTACCGAAGCGCCATTGCGACGAGCCCGACAGGCGCCTCATGCACGACATCAGCGCCCGTCCATTTCTAGCTCCCTGTTCCCTTTTCTCTCCTGCTGTCCGCTTTCAGTCACTAAACTACCAGTCACAGACTCGAGGTCTCGAGATGACTTGCCTGACTTAGCGAGCGCTTCGAATATTGATACCCGTGCGTAGTCTAATGCCCGCCTTCCCTTTCGGGTGACGAGATGCTTAATCCCGTTACAGCTTCATCGGCGGCGAAGTCTAGCGCCCATACTGCTACCCACGCGCCTACATCCTCGGCCTCTTCCCGTGCGTCTTTGACCTCTCTCCCCTCTCTATCCTCATGCCGTACATCTCAGTCTAACGCTTGCGCAGTACCACCGACGCATAAGACGTACCAACTACACGACAGCCCAGGACAGATGCCGGCACCATTAGGGATGTCGGTGGAGGAGAAGGGAGACGCTGGATCCCCGGCCACGCAACGTACGTGCCATACCACGCTTTGTGGCCTCGTGCTGACCATCCTCGCCCTAATTAGTTGCGCAACCACCTGCGGACTCCTCTTCTCTACCCAAACCAGACGAACTTACCCCCGCCAAGTCCCGCTCGGAACCCATCGCAATTCCGAACTCAACTCCGTTACCTGTGTCTGCTCTTCCAGCGCACATACGACCATCTACAAGTGCAGGACCGTCACCCATCTCACCTGTACCGCGCGCATCCTCCCTAGCGCCACGACCTGTATCATCGGCTGGGCCTCCCTCTGCATCGTCTTCACCGCGCGTTCCCGCACGTACCGCGACTACGCCGCGCCTGAGCGGATTGCCAACTTCACCGCGTTTCACGTTCTCAGGTGGATCTGCGCGCTTGAGCCCAGCCATCCTCCCTCGACCCTCTGCGCAGTCTATCTTTCCGCTACCCTCAATACCCAAAACTCCGAGTAGTGCTCCACCACCTCTATCGCCCGAACGACAACGCACTCAAAGCTTGAGACACATGCCGAGTCTGCTCAGACAGGGTGCCGCGCAGGATGAGGACGATATCGCGACGCATGATAATGCAATGTTAGATGGGCTAGAGGAGGACGATGAGGATGGGGAAGTTGAGACGGAGGGCGAGGGGATGACGGATGGCGGTGCAGGGAGTGGGGACGGGAATGGAAGCGATGATGGTGAGGACTCGCCTGAGCAACAGACACCGGATCGTTCGGGGAGGAAGGGCTTGACGCTACGCATGCCTGCACTCAAGTCACCGCTCAGTCTACCAACGGCACCCGGCAAGAGCCCCTTCGGGTTCTCCTTCGATCGCAAGGCGGAGAAGGATCGAGCGAGGGAGAGGGAGCGTGAAAGCGATGGGGACAAGACGCCTGTACCCGTACGCGGCTTCGTCGACTACTTCTCGAGCAAGCCCCCAGAGCAAGAGCCCATGACGCCGAAGACGCCACGACTATCGCTGTCGATTAAGACGCCTGGGCTTGGAATGGGAGCGAAGACTCCTGGCATCACCTCGCCGAAGAAGTCAGGCGCGAAGACGCCGGGTATACCCAGCGCGGCTCTGGGCAACGGCATGACTACGCCCACGCAAACGGGCCCACCCCCTGCCGCTACAACCAGCTCACCACCTCCGCCGCCACAATGGGTCCCTCTTGCACCACCTACACCGGCTTCACCAGGTGCACGAGCTGACATCTGGGCCAACTCTCTGCTTAGCTCCGGACATAGCGAACATGCATCAAAGATCGCACGACAACAAGCGCGCGTTGTACCGATGCCCGAAGGCGACGAAGGTCTCTCAGCGAGCCCGCGGCCGCGGCCAAGCTTCTATCATCAACCTTCGCGCAGTATGGTTGACATGACGGCAGTGGCGCGGGCGAAAGTCGAGCCAGCAACGCCAGCGTCGCCCGCGCGTCCCGCACCTGGATCGGAAGCGCCCGCGCAGACCGATGATGGTGTGCTCGGGCCGAGTCTTAAGCGCCAGCGCTCGCTGCCGACGTTCGGTCCACACGCGGAGCCGCCGCCGTACCCCACCTTCGCACGCGGTGGTCCTCTACCTGCACCGCGCGAGGACGAGGGTAGCGAGCGGTTGCCGGGCTATAGGAACGATATCTACTTGGCTGGCGTGTTGCCCCGGAAGATGGAGTTCACTGCGCCGGGTGTGCAGGCTAAGGACAGGAAGTGGCGGAGGGTCCTGTGTGTGCTCGAAGGAACTGCGTTCAAGATATACGCCCTGCCTATCGGCAAGGGTGGCGGTAGCGTCCTGGGCGGACTGTGGGAGAAGGCAGTCGGAGCGGGCGACATCGCCGAGAGTCCAGCGAGAGCGAGTGAGGTCGCAGCGCTGACTGCTCAGAAGAGGCGTGAGAGGGAGCTCGAGAGGGAACGAGAACGGGAAGCTCTGGCGAATAAGGCCGAGGAGAGATCTTCAGTCGAAGACACCGATGGAGCTGGTTCGTCCACTTCGGGCGCGGGTACATCAGGCAACGAGTCGCCTGGAGGGAGGAGCACAAGTAGGCTCCTGGGAAGTAGCTTCCTACGTGGCCATCGCGGTTCAACGAGTAGTCGAACGAGCCTTTCGAGCGCGAATACCACGGATCGCACTCGCGCGAGTATGGATGAGATGGGTGGACGGAGTAGTAGCTCAAATATGCGGCGACTTAGTGTCGGCGCGAGCGCGACATCGAGTGCTCGGACAAGCTTCTCAAACACGCGAACCAGTCCTACTGGAAGCGCGGGTACAGGCGGTGCTAGTCGGGTACTCCCCGCATCTTCATCGTCTTCCATTGCTGGATCCAATTCGAGCATCGCGCCGAGCGGCACCACCAGTAGCGTCAACAGCGTTACGCACATCCGTCGGCGCACCGGCCCGGAGCCCGCACCTTCCTCACCATCAACTTCGTCACCCGGTCCCGCAACGGACCCGACACGACCTCTATTCCACGAACCAGCCAAGGACGTACCGCGACCGGAGGAGGGCACACTCATACGCGAGTATTCTCTGCAGAATGCAGAGAGTGGTCTGGCGAGTGACTATGTCAAGCGGAGGAACGTCATCCGTTTGAGGATGGAGGGCGAGCAGTTCCTTATCCAAGCGAGCGATGTGGGCAGTGTGGTTGATTGGATCGAGGGATTCCAGGCTGCTGCGAATATCTCGTTGGATTTGGATGAGCGACCTATGCCTAGAGGACCGCTGTTCCCGAGGTGCGTTCTAGATCTACCTGAGAAATACAGAACTAATGCTGACTTGCATACGTAGACGACGCAGGAGACGACCGGCAGCGAGGCCAACAGAGGCGGACGCAAACCCTCCGCCCACGATGCCGCATGCCTAAGCTCACCACCACCCCCTTCCCCCATTGTACAAGCTATGACTGGATGAACGATCACGGACAAAACTTTTTACGAATGTACCCTGCTTATATGCACTTTCACACTCCCTTGCTCCTTACGACCTTTCGTGCGCTTCTCTGTATTCGAACGTCTTTTGTGTGTATGACCGATCGCTGTCAGATCTCTTTTTGCTCATCATCATTTGGACTATTATCTTGCGTCTGTCTTCAGTAATGTACCTGTAGAAGTTGATGGTAATCGGAGCTATATCCCTAGGACCACTGATGGCTAGCTCATCGGCGGGGGGGAGATTACATGAAATCGCAGAGCCTTCACGATCGTAGCACAGATCTCGATCAATCCTCCTCCACGAGAGATATGTACATCGGGAGGTGTGCGCCCTTGGCTTCTTCGCCCCGGACGAACGGCCTTGTCACGACCATAGACCGCCTGAAGACCTTCTCGGGCTCGACGGCATTCATAAACCGGAAGGTAGAGACCAACGTGAAGAAGAGGGCCTTCATCCTGCACACAGTCAGCTATATCTCGACATTAGTTGATCGGGACCGACGTACTCGAGCAACGAGAACCGAAACCCGATGCATGCGCGAGGACCCTGAGAAAACATCAGTCGCGAAATTTCGCCAGACATTAGCATCATGCTCACACCAAGAAATGCGAGTGTGTTCCCCCATACTCCAGGTAGAGCATGCGCTGCATCGGGAGGATTCTCCCAGCGTTCGGGCCTGAAGCTCTCAACGTCTTCCCCCCATATCGCTGCCCACCTTCCCATATTCTCGATGGGGAGCATAACACTATCTCCGGCCTTGACACTGTATGATGCACGAGCAAATCAGAGTACGTCCGGATAACGACAGACATAGGCTCACGGAACACCAGTACGTGTGATACCATGAACATCAGTCCATTCTTGGTCAGTGGGGATGACGTCGTCCTTCGTAGCGACGCGCTGGGTCTGGGATACAGGGCTGTGGAGGCGCATGACTTCCCGCACGAACATCTCGAGATAGGGCAAGGCGTTCAGCGCGTCCGCAGAAGGCGTCGGTCCGTGCGCGTCGATGCATTCGCGCAGCTCTGCGCGAAGCTTGTCCTGAACCCTTTGGTCGTTTGACAAGGAGTGTAGACCCCATGTCACGGCCGAGCTGGTAGTCCTGAGTTCGAAGTCAGTTCAAGAAACACTCAATTCTTCCTTGCGGCTCTTACTCATGACCCTGCAGTCGATATCAGCGCGCGCGTGGGGAATACATTCTGGAGAAAGACACTCACTGCGACGAGCAACGTGGGAATCTCTGCGACCGAAGTAAGCGCGCTGAAAGGAACTTGCATGAGGTCACTTACGAGCAAGCATATCCGCATCAGACAGACGATTCGCATCCGGTAGGTCGGTCGCTAGATTGGCTCGCACGAGTATACTCAAGACATCCTTGCCTTGGACATCGTCCCGAGTCACCTTCTCATGAACGACATCGCCCAGTACGAGTCGCTTCCGCTCGTCGATGAGTTTGCCACCAACACGATTCAGGACCGCCCGAGCTTTAGCGATGCGTCGCGTCCGCGGCGTAGGCTGGTTGCATCCATCAGCTCAAGCGCTACGAACATCTCATAGGTGTCACGCACGATGTACCGGAAAGCAGGAATGAGGGCTTGCAGGAACGTCATGATGCCAGGAAGCTCGCCATCAGTAAGGATACGAAGAGCGTCGGTGAACTCCTTCGTCTGGGAGTCATCCGGGGGACCCAGAGCGTCAAAGGAGAAGCCGAAGCCTATGTCCTCATCAGTGGTACTCATGCTAGGAACATCGTGACGCGTACCTGCCAGGCCAATGATGTCGAGCGTAGTCAGTTGAAGATACTCCAAAACGTCGACGAGCGTCCGAGGCGAATTGTTCTCAGATACGCGGGTCTTCCAGATGTCTCGAAGCTGTACGCGATTGGTGACCATAAGATGCGCGCTGTTGTTCTTCCGCGTACCTGTAAGGACTTCTCGAAGAAGATGGGTAGCAATGCGCGGACTTGGGCGATTCCGAATGCCGGGTTCTGCGCAATTTAGAGTTGAGGCGCGTTGTGAGACCATATGTAGAGCGGTACTGACCAGAACTCTGCGCTGTAAGACGTCAGCTGAGTGACAGGAAGTACGGCTGGCTAAACAGGGCGTACCTGATGTTTATGTTCCATTCCCTCGACGGTCAGTATACCTATCGACATATCAGTGATGTACTCATTCGCACGTTGAAAGTGGACATACCGTCTCCAACAACTTGACTGGCGACATACTTGCCCAATGGGGGCTTGTGGTAGTCCATAGAGTTCGAGATGACATGGCCAATGCCACGAGCGTCGGCGAGGACCAGTCGTGGAGTCTGCAAACACCGCGTTCAGCAGAAGCAAGCGGCGTGTAGTGAACGAACTCGTACGCCAAAGACAGACCACGTGATGAATATAGGCCCATACTCTTGCATCCATTGTCGCTGCGCCACGGCCGGGGTCAGCTTGCGTGTGATCTTCATCGTCCCCCATAGCCAGCTTTGTGGTCGAGGGCCGGGTACGTTGCGTAGTGGCGAAAAGAAAGGGTCGGCGAGAAAGTGGTAGAGGGCGCGCAAGGGTTTGAGCAGCAGGACAAGCGCGGCGAACCCCGCTACCGCGGTGGTTGTTGAGGCCATAGTAGCTATAGCTATCAAGGCAGGAGGAGGACGTCGAGGTCGGAGTTAGATTTCACTTTCGAGTCTTGTTTATAGCTGCGTGAGCTCAATGTGGGTGGGTGGAGATGAGTTGGCTTTCGGGTGTCATACATCCGCGGTAGGTAACCCTGTCGCCATACGATCTACAGATATCGAAGTGCGTCGCAGGCGAATGCATGACCGGGATGCTGTTGCCCCAACCCGCTTTTGATGACCTTTCCGGCGGGTGCTAAGTTGCGGCCAAAGCGTCGGGTTCTCCGACGGAGAATGAGAGCCTGTGTAATCTAGCCTTTCTGATAGCACCCCAGTGTAGGGAACGTAGGCATTTCGCTATACACGCGTATCGAACGAGCGGGTTTCGAGCCGGATGAGTGTCTGAAGGAAGGTTGGACCCGGCGATCCCGGACTGCGCGTGCGGCAACTTGTAGAATTCGGCGCTTGCCTAGATATATAGCGTATACAGACTCACTCGTCTCTTTGCCAGTAATTTACACGGCTATGAGCTTACGGCTGTCTTTAGCTAGAACGGTAGTACCGCGCCACCTGTAAGGGTGTTGGCCTTCGCTGCGAAGTCTCTCTGACTTTCTTACTTGTGCGCTTCTGTTCGAGTACAAGCGCCGGAGAGGGAACATGGCACGGGTCACTTGACAAGCAGTTGACGCCCGTACCACACCGGATTCGTGATATGTTGAGCATTATAGAGAGTATATGCGCGTAAGCTATTGAATGGACATCTAGAAGGGAAGTTTCTGCGCCTTCGCTTTGCCCTTCGCCGGCTTGAGCGGTTGAGGTCTTGACTTGGCGTGCCACTGTGCATATACATCAGTAAAGCTTATCAGCTCGTGCAGCTGAAAAAGGCCACGTACCCTCCTGAAGCGGTCGATGCGTTGCGGCATGTCGCGAAGCAGCATCTTGATGCGAGCCTCCTTCTCGGGCTTCTCGCGTTCCCAGCGGTGGCCCTTGAACATGAGACGCTTGCCAGCGTACAAGCGCACACCGATATCTGCGCCAGGGATGTAACGCCTGCGAGGGGTGCCAACCCACTCGACCGAGCTGTCCCACTCTTGCGGTTTAGCCGACCTCTGTTCTTTCGCCTGCGACGCAGCCTTGGCAGTCCGGCGACGGGCGCGTAAACTTGTTGATGCCTTCGCTGTCACAATATCCGCGACGGCATCCGTCTGTACGACTGCACCCGACTCCTCCGCCGCTACCACGTTCTCCAACTTTTTCTCTTGTGCGTCCAGGATAGCGAATATATCCGATCCACTCGAGCGTGCAGCGGCACGCTCTTCACGCGCGTGAATCTTCGCCATATACGCCGCATCGTCCTCGGGCCGCTTCGGGGCTGCTGCGTCGTATTTGAGGCCAGGAGGAAGAAGGTGTAAAGTCCCGGAGACTTTGGCCTGCTTTACGAGCTTCGCTTGCTGGCGTAGAGAGTACTTGGGCGGCGCCCAGCGTCCCGTGACCGGGTTCTTGTGCGGTACGAAGGGGTTATGCAAGGCAGAAGCGGCGCTTTCCGCCGAGGGTTGAGACGGTAGAGGTAGAGGAGTTGATTTGGTCAGAGCGGCGAGCTCACGAGCGCGGAAACGCTTGACGGCGTCCAGCGCGCTCTTTCGTGCCGTGGCCATCGTGAGCGCGGTGAACAAGAGCGCGTCTGGCACGCCAGCGCAAACAGTCGCGTCTCGGCAAATCCCGGCCTTATGATCGCCGCGCCGCGCAAACGAAGTCTGCCCTTCACCTTTATCTTCTCTCCGGCATCGATGATGCGCGCATCTGAAATATTATATGAATTTTCAAATAGGTGCCTGCTGCTCAGAATGTGATGGCACGATATTCGAGAACCACGAAGTCGCGACCCCTTACTCCCAGTACTGGCAGCACGAACCACCGTATAAGCCAACCCTTTTTTATTCAGCATTGCTTACTCGGCATACTACAATTTACTGCCATTCATCAAGCGCTGGCTTGGATATAAGGAGATAAATCCCATATACGCCAGTCGCGGTCACGATGTACGCAAGGCTCTGACGGCGTCCCTCTGCTATCTGACATTCCGATCCTGTGTAATCCCGACAGGTCCCAACCACCATGTACTCTCAACAAGTTCCATACACTTCATGCGCGCCTGTGTGCAATGACTGTATCCTGCGCCAACGGCCTCTTATCATGTATTCTGTGCTCTGCATCCAGAAACTACGCGACGCGTTGTCAACTGCCAAGCCCGTCGCGAGGAAGTTCCCGAGGCTGGTGTACTGTACTGCACAGCCCGAAGGGGAGAATAGTATCGATTGTTTGAGACGCTCTGTCCATCCTGTAAGAGGTACAGTCTGCACGGTACAATCATAGACAGTCGGATGCAACGATAAGTCACAAGTTGCACGCATCGGAGTACTACGTGGTCGTCTTAGACAAAGTTACCGGATCGCACGCTCCTTGTGCTTACAACCGTTATCGGCTTTCCGTCTTCTGTACCACCATGATCGTGCCAACCTCCTTGCTTTCCACACGCGTCGACTCGGCAGCAGAGGGCTTGTATCGGATACATCCACATATTTGCGCACGACGTGGCACTTCTTAGTAGTGTCCAGGCTACAACTGATGGCGCCCTGTGGTACCCTGCGTTGGCCGGGTTCTATTCGCCAAACCATCACGATAGAGACCATGACCTCGTGAAAGTCTTGGGTTGTCTATAAAATAGTCAGACTGGGAGTCGTGGACATCCCTCGCCCCTACTCTCTCGCCGCTCTGTCACCCTTCGGCCTCCGAACATGAAAGCTGGACTCTTCACATTCATCCGGGATCAACTTCGGACGGTGCCGCCCGTCGTGCAGGGTGATCTGACCGGAAAGACGATCATGCTTGTCGGCGCAAACGCCGGTATAGGCTTGGAGGCATCGAAGCACTTCGCGCGTATGAAGCCCGCCCGGCTTATCCTAGCTTGTCGCAACGAGCAGAAGGGCAAGGCGGCTATCAAGGGTACGTCACTAGCTATACCCATGCGCATACATACACTGATTGCGGATTTCAGCGATCCAAGAAGCTACTGGTTACGCCAACGCCGAACTCGTGCAAGTTGACCTCGACAAGTTTGCATCGATTGATGCCCTGGCGGCCCGGTTCGAGAAGGAACAACTGGCTCTCGATATCCTCGTCTACAATGCCGGTGTCTTGATGACCAAACATGAACTTTCGTCTGACGGTTGGGAACCTACGTATGTCTTTTGCCAGCTTCAGCTGATGCTTAGACTCAAACTTGCATGTACTAGCTTACAAGTGAACGCGCTCTCCGCGATGCTCTTCAGCGTCCTTTTCGTACCCGCTTGCTTGCGGGCCGCGGAGGCGCGTCCATCTTCGCACCCGCGGATCGTCATCGTCGGAAGCTTTGTGCATTATCTTGCGGTAATGCCGAAGAGCGTGCTCCAGGCCGATAGCATCCTGAGACAACTCAACAAGCCCGAAGAGTTCAAGCAGACGTGAGCTTCTTCCTGCGTACTTCGAGCACAGACTTAACAACGTATGACAGTGCTCTGCAACCCCGATACAACCAGTCGAAGCGTGCGTTCGTCTATCTGCAGTCTTGGCTACACGATTGGCTGACAGCTCGACAGTCCTTGGGTTATTCGTTACCCGCGCATTGGCCAAACACCTTGCTCGGACTCCGATAATTGCCCTCAACCCACATCCGGGGTACTGCTACTCCGAACTGCGAAGAAACTACGGTCGACTGGATGCAATCTCAGACTGGCTCATGGAGAAGCTGCTTGCGCGCACATCCGAGGAGGGCTCGCGCGACTTGGTATATGCGGCTGTTGGAGGCACGGAGGACGAGGACGCGCTTCGCGGCGCGTTCACGAACTTGCAGCATGTACAGGAGGCAAGCGACTTCGTCATCGGAGAGGTTGGACAGGAGACGCAGAAGCGTGTATGGGTGTGTGCTGCGTTCGCTGTGATTCTGGCATACACTGACGATGACCTTCCAGGCTGAAGGCGTGGCTATCCTATCAGAGGCATCACCGCGTTTCAAAGAAATTGTTGATATCCATCTTTCGGCTTGAGTTTCGCAGTTTGTAGTCCCTCACATGTTTTTCAGCGACAGCAATACATACGTCACTTTGGATTCCTACGATCCAAACGCTACCAAAAAGCATTATTTCCCGGCGTGATAAATCCGCTCCAGGCGCATTTCTCTTCATGTTTACACATCCGCGTCCCAGGTCTTGAACTGAAGCTCCAAGAAGCGTTACACCCAGCTACAGCCTCTTGGGGAGTATACTTACGCCATGGACCGAGTACTGACGAGCAGTACAGAAGCGCACATCGGGCTCGGTTGGGCTTCCGAGTGCGTACCTGATGGGCGCCGGGTCCGACGGACCAAAAGGCGCCGGTCTCGGAGCCGTGTGGCCAAGGTACATGTGCTGTCATTGACTCCGCCTGCAAAGTTCAACTGCTATATATCTCGGCTCGGCGACGTCCAATTTTTGCTTCGGATTTCGCCCCTGTGAGCCCGCAACGATTATCCTTCCCGTTGTAAGTCTCATGTTCATACCTTCATACGTACGTAGGACTTGTAGCTCATCTTTGAAACCAGCGTTATGGCCACTGGTCAACTGGTCGTGTCAGCGTGTCTTTTGGGTGCTGCGGCGGTTAGTGCTGCCTTGCTGCTACTCTTTCGTCCGAAGGGCGGAAAGATAGCACTCGCAGAAGACCAGGAGCGCGAAGATGATCCATTTGACGTCCCACCTTCTGATGACGTGGCGGATACGCACGCCGTCGATGGCGAAAGATACAAGTTGAACGTGAGCACAGCAGGTTACCAAGCGGTCACACTAGGCTTATTCGTAACTTGTCACAGCTCAAGTACCTCAAGTTGGCACTGGTTGCTGTACTTGCTTGCATCACGGCTCTTGAAGTCGTCACACTAGCTCTACTGGTCGAGCTACGATCGGAGGCAGACGTCGTTACTCCCGTCTTTCAGCTTCTCTTCGCACTTTACCTATTGACACTTGCCTGTCTGTCGCTATTCGATCGCACGGGAAACTGGCACATCGGAACTATTATCACGCTCTCTATTTTGGCGCCCACTTCCGTCCTCGTGCACTTGATCTCAATTATTCTGTGGGAGGACGACGCTACAAATGTAGCCAAGGCGATACACTTTACAGTTTTGGCACTGTACTTGGTGGCCTCAGCTATAGCGGTTTTCGCTCCCCTCGGGCCCAGACTTGCTTCCTTCTCTGATGGCGCTGAGCGTAAGCTTAGCGGCGCCGTTGGTGAGAATGTCATCATCGTCTACGCGTATAGTCACTCAATCGAGTCGTAGGCGCCTCCGCATTTGGCAACTTGCTCGTCTCCTATGCAAAGGAAGTCGTCAAGATCGGATCCGCGTCTGCGCAAATGTCGGCAAAGGATCTACCTATCGTTCCACCGACAATCAGAGCGTTCTTCAATGCGCACGCTATGCGTCAAGCCTCTCAAGCCGCCACCAGAGCATCTCAGCGTGTGCTACTGTGGACGGTTCCGCCCGGTGGCGCGCTCGAGCTCACTCATCGGCTCATCAAACTAAACTTCGGCGGCTTCGTCACCTTGGCAGCACTCTCGACGGGATGCGGATTCATTTACTACTTCCCATATTACTTCATCCAAGGTCTTATTCGCTATCTTGAGCTTGATCCGGGGCGCGAGAACATTGTTCGTGGCGTTGGATGGGCAATTGGATTGTACCTCTCCACTGCGTCCGTGTATCTCCGTGAGTGCAGTACCGTGGGTCTGGTAATCGGAAATTGACGTCGGTACCCTGCACAGTGACCAATCAGTTATGGGTACAAGGCTATATGCGCCTACACATCCGCATTCGCCTTCAACTGAACTCCCTGCTGTATGCGAAGACCCTGGTTCGCAAGGATGTCGTTTCCGCGAGCCAGTCGTCCTCGGAGGACGACCCGGCGACCAGCGCATCCGGCGAAGAGTTTACCGGCAAGGCGCAAGTGATGACGCTCGCGACTACAGACATCGAGCGCGTCGCTAACCTGGTGCTGAACCTCTACGAGCTCATCGACGCACCCCTGGAGATCTTGGTCGGCACACTCTTCCTCTACCGTCTCCTCGGCATCTCCGCCTTCATCGGCATCGGCATCACCTGCGTATTCATTCCTCTCAATCACTTCGCCGGAACCGTCGTCATGGGCGCGCAGACGAAACTGATGTCATCGCGCGACCGCCGCATCTCGCTCATGAACGAGGTGCTCGGCGCTATCCGCATGGTCAAGTTCATGGCGCTCGAACGCAACTTCGAAGATCGCGTTCTTTCCGAGCGCGAGACGGAGCTGAAGTACCAGAAGCTCAGCTACACCATTGAGCTCATGTTCAACGCGGTGTGGTCAGCATCGCCGACTTTTGCGGCCATTGCTGCTTTCTTACACTATGCGGTGATTCGCGGTGAACCTTTAACACCGGCTGTCGCATTCACCTCAGTAAGTCAGCATGCATATTCAAAATGCAGTATGTCTAAAGTGGATTCGTGCACAGATCGGCATCCTCGACGAGATGAAGTTCTGCCTCGCGATCCTCCCGGACACGATGATCAAGATCTTCCAGGCTTCGGTCTCCCTTCGGCGCCTGGCGCGGTACTTGCACAGCGTCGAGGTACCTCTCAAAAACCTCAGACGCGACACGTCGGTCGGCTTCTCCAGCGCGACCGCGACCTGGCCCTCGGCCTCCACCGGCTCGTCTTCCGGCTCATCAACACCTCGTGGGAAGTTCTCTCTTCTGGACTTGAACGCGACGTTCCCGGCCGGAGAGTTGACGCTAATATGCGGCAAGCTCGGCAGCGGAAAGACACTTGCACTCCTAAGTGAGTACAGCCAACTTGTTTGTCGTGATGGAAGAGTCTTACAAAGCTCTATCGTAGCTCTGCTTGGCGAAGCAGACATCTTGGCCGGCGATGTTATGTGCCCACGCTCGTCTGCCGATGCTCTCGCCAACATGTCGGACGAACTTGCTCGCATAGGCGACTGGGTAGTGGACGGAATATGCGCATACGTCCCTCAAACATCCTGGCTTCGCAACGCTAGCATCAAAGGTATGCCTAGGGGCATAGCCTTGATCCAAAATATACTGATCGCTTCGTCGCTCAGATAACATATTGTTTGGCTTGCCTCTCAACGAGGAGCGCTACAACAAGGTGCTTTACGCCTGCGCGTTGCTAGCAGATTTGAAGATCTTGGAGGACGGCGACGAGACCGAGATCGGAGAGCAAGGGATCACTCTCTCAGGCGGTCAGAAAGCACGAGGTTAGCACCGGGCGCCGCTGCTCTCAACGAATGCACTCACGTGTCCTCCAGTTTCGTTGGCTCGTGCCGTATACTCGCGGGCCTCGATTCTGCTCTTCGACGATGTACTGTCTGCCGGTACGCAATCACGCTCAACCCTAGCTAGACGAGTCTGACCTCCTCTGACCTCTCCCACAGTCGATGCGCACACGGCGAACCACATCTTCAAGAAGTGCTTGAAGGGGGACATCATGCAGGGTCGAACTGTTGTCCTCGTCTCGCATCACGTTCAGCTGTGCGCTCCGGGCGCAGCATTCGTTTTGGCGCTGGACAACGGGCGCGCGGCTTTTGTCGGAAGTGGCGATGCATTCCGTGCTTCCGATTCCTACGCCAGCTTTGCGGCCGTTGAAGCTACTTCGAAGCCGGACGAAGATAAAGCCACGCCGGCCGTTGAAGATGAAGACACCGTCACGGATGCTGTCTTGAAAGGCAACGAGGAAGAGAAGGTGAAGACACCCCGAAAACTGCAGGAGGAAGAAGCTCGTCAGCTTGGGCGAGTCAAGAGCGATGTGTGGACCATGTACCTCGCAGCATGCGGCAGTTACATCTACTGGACCATCTTCGTCGTGGGCTTCGTGGCCGCGGCGCTTAGCCGCGTCGCGGAGATTGGTTGGCTGACGTGCGTGTCTCCCGCTTCTCCGGTCCTCAGGCGCTCATGTTCAACAGGGTCTGGACGCGATCCACGGGTGAAGAGCATGGAGCCCGGCACTATGTCACCGTATATGCGATTATCTGCTGCATCGGTAAGCACCTCGTTCGCACCATCGTGTCCTGTCTCGTCGTTCTAATCCGTTGATATGGTCTTTCAGGCATTGTGCTCACCACTTCGCGCCTCTTCATCGCCTGTGAGTTAGCCGGCACCTTCTGCTCTATGCAAACTCTTATGAGAGCTCCTCAGACGACGGATCAATACGTGCATCGCGCACCCTCTACGCTCGTTTACTCGACATCGTTCTGTTTGCAACCACTCGTTTCCACGATACCGTTTCGCGCGGGCGACTCCTCAACCGCTTCGGAAAGGATTTCGAGGGTATCGACAGTAGCCTGGCCAACAACTTCGCGCTCGTCATCGTCACTGCTTTATCCGCAGCTACTACGTTCGTGACTATCGGCGTCGTGGGAGGCGCGCCATTCGTGATCTGCGCAGTTTTGCTGTATTCTTTGTACTGGCGCTGTGAGTCGCTCTCTTGTGTTGGAGGTGGAACACTTCGCTTACATCTCTTCAGCGGGCATCCTCTATGCAAACACCTCCCGAGAGCTGCGCCGACTGGAATCAGTCTCCCGCTCCCCAATCTACTCTCTGTATGGCGAGACCATCGCTGGCGTGACAGTCATTCGTGCATTCGGCGCGTCTACCAAGCTGTACAAGGACATGCTTCGTCTTATGGATACGGTGCGTTCTTGGAGTCGGCAACACTTGCAGAGGCATAGCTGAACACATGCCAAACCAGAACATCAACCCTTACTACTGGATGAGCGCCGCAAACATGTGGATCGGCTGCGAGTTCAATATGATCTCGTCCGCTATTGTCGGCGCAGCCGCTCTTGCCGCTGCCCTCACTTCCAGCATTGACGCTGCAATGGCAGGCTTCATCCTTGCCCTGGTCCAGAATCAAGCGTACGATGTGAGTATCAGTCGTTAACCCTCATCGCGTTCGATTCTGACTTGGCCTTGCAGGCGCTTAAACTCGTGCGATGCTTCGCTACACTCGAACAGTCCATGGTTGCGCTTGAGCGTGTCAAAGAGTACCTCGAGCTCCCGCAAGAGTCTCCCGCGATCGTGGAGCCTCGCCCGCCTACTGATTGGCCATCATCCGGGCGTATCGAGTGTCGCAACCTCGTTCTGCGCTATGCGCCCGAGCTTCCTGATGTTCTGCACAACTTGAGTTTCTCCATCGCTCCAGGAGAGAAGGTCGGAATTTTGGGCCGTACAGGCTCTGGAAAGAGCACACTTGCTGTGGCGTTCTTCCGCTTCGTAGAAGCTCATTCGGGTTCGATCATCATCGATGGCCAAGATATCGCTCGGATCGGCCTGTCTGACCTGCGCTCGCGCATCACTATCATCCCCCGTATGTATCTTCTTTTTTGCGGACTATGTCAAATGTGACAAATGTGACATGTACTGACAAATTCCACAGAGGATCCGACCATCTTGAGCGGTACCATCCGTAGCAATCTCGACCCCTTCGGCGAGCACGACGATGCAGCACTAGTGAGCTGAGATGCATCCATGACAAAGGGCGCCTTACTGACGGGGTCCGGCGCATAGTACGAAGCATTGCGCCGCGTGCACCTTATTCCATCCGAGAGTGGCCCGCCAGAGGAGGCAATGAACGAGGAGAACGCCAATGTGTTCAAGAGCCTCGACACGCCCGTCATGGAAGGTGGAGACAACTTCTCGACAGGGTATGCGTCAGCCGTTAGTGACCGTCTGTTGCCATGACTGACTGAAGATTTCACAGCGAAAAGCAGCTGCTGTGCATGGCGCGTGCTATCTTAAAGCGGTCCAAGGTGCTCATCATGGACGAGGTGTGTATCGCTCTTCAACTGCTCCACGCCCACACGCTCATTGGCACCGTGAAATAGGCCACAGCCAGCGTCGACTATACCACCGACGCACTCATTGGCGAGACCCTCCGCCATGCCTTCTCCCAGAGTACGATCTTGACGATCGCTCACCGCTTGCGTACTGTGGCGGACTATGACAAGGTCATGGTGCTGGATCAGGGTAAGCTGGTCGAGTTTGGCGCACCTGCGGCCCTTTTGCGCGACACCAACTCGCACTTCTACAGCATGTGCGCGGCCGCAGGGAGTGCTGAGTTGGCTGCTATACAAAGTATGGCTAAAGACAGCGCGTAAACTGGCGTATCTAGCTTACCGATTGCGCATAATCAAATTAATGTTTTATATTATGACACCACTACAACCGATAGCAGTGTCGCGTACGCTCGCCCTTCTGGCACGATAGAGGAAAGAAAATGAATAAGTTAAGAGGGTATGCCGAACCCCAAACACAGGATATACGCCCAAGAGTCTATTGTGGAGTGTCTACGGGTGCCGTGCTCGCAGGCCGCGAGTTCTCCGCAGAGCCAGAATCCGCAACCTCCTCGATGAACGCGCCTTGCGGTGCCTCGCCCTCCTTCTCCCCCTTCTTGCTCTTCTCGCCCTTCTTTCCCTTCTTGCCTTTCTTCTTCGGGATGTCCCACTCCCAGAAAGGAATGAACGAGTCGACCTGCGAAAGATAATCAGTAGCCTGAAACCGATGGATAGCGCTTGCACTCACGAATCCAACGTCTGCGAAGAGATTGGGGAATATCCAGATACCCGGGCTCACGACGATGACGGTGATGATATAGAATATTAACCGCACGATCGCAATCGCGAATAGTAGTCCAATGAGCCCAAGCACAACGTATGACAGCCAGCCAACGCCTTGACGCATGACCGGCGGCCACAAGGGGAACATAACGCCAGCCAGAATGACGCCAACCATAATCGCGCCGCCGACATACGTCGTCCATTGCGGACCGTCGTAGAACCATGCGTAGTATTCGTCTGCAGCGAACATCTGCATAGGGTTCACGGTGAGAAGTTTCGGCCCAGCTGAGGAGCCGACGGCTGCGCCACGGTCAACGCGCAAGTAGAACGCATAGGGGATGATAGAGCCCAGCAGTTTCGTCGCGTCGGTCTCGGATTCGATCTTCGGCACTTTCTTCAACTTGGCGTAGGCGGGGGACAAGAGCGCTTTGATGGCATGTTTGCCTGTGGTGGCACGTCTGTCAGCCGCGCGCTTATTCGTGAATTCAAACGCGTGGACTCACCCTTGAAATAGTCGATACGCTTGCCGTTTAGTACACCAGTGCGCGCCTTGATTCCAGATGACGAGCCGCGCAGGAAGACAGCAACATTTTTTAGGTCCGCGGGCGCCTTTGCCTGCTGATCGGCGGTGGACATTGTGTTCGACTTTCGCGCCTGTCGTGATGTTGAGAATGTTGATATACACTGATATCGCGCCGAACGTACCTATTAGATGTGGCCACCAGTCGTGTCCTGAGTATAGAGCCGATAAAGGAAGGTGAAGTGGGCGTGCACGCGCCACACGAGAGGATGGAGGGAGGGAGTGAGAGCGATGAGCTGGCCGACATACGTGTTCTCGCCCTAACCCCGGTTTGAATCGGCGCGACATCATAGCCACACACGCTGCACGCCGCGTGCCACTCATCTCCTTCCTCAACTGCGCGCGCTCCTCTCAGACTGCAAATGGGACAGTGATGTGCACCTGCTACCATTGTGCCAAGATAGCTTACGCCTTGGTATAGCGCATCTGAACTTTTGCATGAACTGGGCGCTCATTAGACGCTGACTTCACATAGCGCGCGAGCGTATCGCACTAAGCATACTTTACAAACACAATCACGATAGATAGCACGAGCAATCCGGTCTACATACAGATGTGGATAGTGAGACGGTAGATAGCAGCTCGATAGCAGGAGGATGTGCAGATGAATGATATGGTACATATGATGATGAGATGAAAGAAAAGACGCGACGGTGATTAAGTAGAGGTGGTAGCAGCCTTCTCAGCTGTAGGACGTGCTTTCGGTTTGCGGTGTTTCACGATCCAAGGGTGAACGAGCACCTCCTCGAATGGTAGGCGATCTTCCGGGTTGTAACGCAGAAGCTGCCAGCAGGTTAATGGTGCTTCAAGTGATAGCAGGCTAAGCCCTTGCCTTCGTGATCAGATCACGGGCCTCAGGTGAGGCACGGTCGGCAGGGAAATTGAATCGTACGCGGGCGATCTTCTTGTATGTGCCTGGCAAGCAACGCGTCAGTATACGACCTTTTGATTGTGAGAGTGGATGCGACTAACCGAACTGCCCGCCCTCCAGGTCCTCAAACGGCGGCTTGCCAACCAGGAACTCATACGCAAGTACTCCGAGCGCCCAATGGTCGACCTTCTCATTGTGATCCTTGCGTTCAACCATTTCCGGCGGGAGATAATCCAGAGTCCCGCACAGGGTCTTCCGGCGGAGGCCAGGTGCATGTACAGACCATCCGAAGTCTCCGATCTTCAGCTCGCCGTTCATACCGATCAGTACGTTCTCAGGCTTGATATCGCTGCAAAGATGATTAGTAACGCATCATGGTATGGAATACGAGACAGACTTACCGGTGGATGACATGCTTGGAGTGGAGGTAACTGAGCGCGTCCGCCATTTGGTCGATGTACCGGCTTGAACGGCTCTCAGAGAAATGAAACGGAGGCTTGGTGAGCTGCTTATACAGCTCACCCTGCGCCGCGAACTCTAGCATCAAGAATATCCGCTTCTCATCGTGGAAGAAGCCATACAGCCGCAGAACGTTCGGATGCCGCAAGTTCTGCTGAATCTCGATCTCCCGGCGAATCTGCTTCTCGACCTTGTTCTCCACGATCTCCGATTTGTACTGGCATTTCAGCGCCAGGATAAAGCGTGGCTCGACCTTGGTGCGGACCATGTACACTCGTCCGAATTTGCCCTTGCCGAGGGGACGGCCAATCTCGAAGTCCTTGAGACGCCATTCACGTGTTGGCCGCGTGCTGAAAGTATCGTTAGCGCCCAGCTACCACATAAGCGCCGGCATGGTACCACGCACCCAGAAACACTCGAATCAAGCGCGAGGAGCTTCGCAGCCTCTCCAGATACTACGGAACCTCGCTTTTCGTTGTCCCGCTCAAAGCCATTGTCGTAGTGTCCGATGTCGAAGTCTTGTGGTGCGGCAGCCTTGGTGGTGGATTTGGGTGCCTTCGTAGTAGACGCAAGTGATGAAGTAGAGGCTGCGCCCTTCGTATGTGCGCCGAGAGCACCAGTAGATTTGGATTCGGGAAAGGGTGCAGGTGCAGCAAGTTTGGTGAGAAGCGCCGCAACCTTGGTTTGGCTGGCAGCCTTCTGGTGGCCCGGACGTAGTGGAGGTTTAGAGGCGAGTGATGGGTTGCCGGCGCCCGTGGTATTCTGCTTGCTGGAAAGCTCGAGAGCAGCGATCTTCCGTGTCACAGCGTCTATGGAAGTCATGGTGGAGGCTGGCAGGATGTGGTGGTTGGCAGACCGAAGTGAGCGCGAGGAAGCGCGCGGGGTTAAGCGCGCCGAAGTCCGAAGTTCAACATGAACGCGCTCACGTGGTGCTTTCACACGAGGTGTAAATTGATACAGTAAGTCTAGGGAAGTCTAAGGCTAACGGACGAGTACATACACAAGCAGGCAATATCATCACGTCGCAGATCGTACATAAGGGGGCAGTCGCGGAGAGACAACAAGGTATACGAAGAAAGATATCGCAGTTAGTATAGACTCGCGCCACACATCTTGTTCGCGATGCTGGAGAGCAGGAGACAGTATCCCTCTGCCAATGGCGATCAGTGCGGTCTCGAGTGTGCACCATCATCACACTACTCACTTGCAAGTGCGACACGGTGCCCGACCTGGCCCAAGGCAGACGCGATAAACTCGACTTCAGTTTTAAACGTGTGTATCTGTTCTTGCGCGTCGACTTGGATTGCGACCTGCCAGAACCTGAGAAGGGTCTTTCCGGCCATAAACCACGCTAGCTGTACCAATAGACGTGTCAGTCATGAAAGTGACAAAGTGAGTAGAAGCCTCACGTTGCAGATTGGGTCCAGAAGAGAGAGGTCAAAACTAGTCGACTGCGCCGAGTACAACAGCTCCAGTATAGCACGCGCAGATCGCAGCAAATTCGCTGCTGACTGGCAACTGCGGTTCTCCATATGAGCGTGCGGGTCGTGCAGATTGATGTTCGCTCTGCGCATTCATGAATACACCAAAATTTCGCCAAGACTATGCAGATAACTCACATGTGCGGCAACAGGGATGCAGCATACAAGTACGAGTCGATGGTACCGAGTGCGAAGGGATCGCGAAGATGCGACGGGAACGTGTTGCGGAACTCGGTAGTTGCTTGATGCAGCTCAATGAAGGCGCCCGTGCAGCGTGGGTCGGACTTGTAGTCGTAGTCTTCCGAGATCGGACACTCAGCTTCCCAAACGCGACGCCACATGCTCGAATACTGATGACTTCCCGCCGCCTTATGCTACACCATTGTCAGTTGGGCGGAACGGCATAGAACTGGTGCGCAACGAACCTTCTCCCGGCGGAAGTGCAAGTTGAAATCCTTGACGCGCCCTAGAAGCGCAACAGCCTTGATATAGAGATTGAACGAATCACAGGTCTCCGGGTTGTGGCGGAGAATGACGTCCTCTTTCAGGAGACTTTCGCGCTCTTTCACGGGAGGATACGATTCCTATTTCGGCTGGTCAACAACACCAATCGAGGCAGGACATAGTAGATAACGTACCCCTAAGGCAAAGTTGAACGCGCTGACGGGAAAGACTTGCATGCAGTCCTCTTCGTGGATACTGTGCGGCCAGAGATTGGCGGCATGTGTCAGCCGATCCAGCATGAACGCTAGCCAATATATATTCCTGCGCGTCTCGCTCTCGATTGCGTCTCGAGGTTCGGGGATCAGTGATAGCCCGACCGCAGAGGTTGAAATGGGGCTGAAGTCCTCGTTGAGAGACAAGCCCAATGGGTAGACGCTACGCGCGATATTTCCCGTGCTGATGAAGACCTGGACAGACTGTTAACCCTAGGGAAAGCTGTGAGACGAGGCGATCACTCACTTCCACCCATTTGCCTTGTGACCAGTACCAAAGTGCGCAGAGGATCGAACCTGGCGATACAGTCGGTCAACAGCCCGATATCCAGAGCTTACTCGACGGCACCTTGCATGTTTTCCACCATACGGTATCCACGTAGCGTGTCCTGTTCGCTCACACGTCTAGCGAGCTTGATGTGCGTCTCTGCAAAGCTATCGGTATGTTCTTGTTGCTTCCACTTGTTCTGGAAAGCCTCGTCTGTAGTAGAGCATGAGCGATCCTGGTCGAGTGGGTGCTAGAAAGACCTACTGGCAGGCATAATGCCTTCACCAGGAACTTCAGTCTGCGAGATTGCAGCAGTGTACTGGCTGCCCACGGCGCAGATGGCATGCAAGACCGCGCTCGAAGGGAAGTTCGGATGGGTGGGCGGATAGCATAGGTTGTTCATGAATGTCGGCTGATGAAAGAGGCGATTGGCGTGAGGATGAAACGCGAAGAACGAATCAATGCTATGCGAGGAAATCTATCAGCTCTCTCTTGACGTGTCTGAAGAGAAGCTTGCTCACAGATGCCTCAAGAGATCAGGTGCAGGAAGGTCTTCCGGCCATCCTGAGTAAACGAGGTTCTGTTGGTTGTCCGGGTAGTAAGGAGTCCCGACTGCGGCGTCCAAGGGATCCACCGAGCTTGCAGTGGGGTGGGTACCGTGACCCCTCATGCGCGGAGGCTGGGTCGGTTGGCGCTCCTCCCAGCAACCGCCACCGCTACCAAACCCGACCATGAAAGGGTCAACTTTGTTGCCACGCGGGCTAGGGGCCGATGCACTAGGAGAAGAGCCAAAGCTGTCGGAGCCGTTCCCGGGCGGTGACAGTGAGGGAGGCGATAGCCCAGTAGACGAGTGCTGTGACTGTCCGGTAGATGACGTTGGGTGAAAGAGAGGGGATATTCCGGATGGGCCTGCTGAGTATGCACCCAGCTCAGAAGGCATAGATCCACTGGCAAGGGCCGACAGCAGATCCAGGCCGTTATCGACTGTGGTAGTGTGTCCTAACGAAGCGAAGTTCAGAGGAGCCATAGAACCAGAGTTGTCGGGCTGACCAGACATGATGGCGTTCAAGACTCCGGATACCTCTAGGCCCAGGTTAGTGCGGACACATGAAGAGACAGAGGAGTACACGCACCGTGTAGGCTGGTAGGTTGTTGCACACCAGGCGGCTGTCCGCGCAATAGACCCTCAAGCTCCCCTGGAGACTTGTCAGATACGGAAGACTAGAATATCATATCGCACGCACGTATCCTGTCTTCCAACTGCCCGTAACGGTCTTTGGGGATCTCTGGAAGCCCTGGCACTGAGCGGTTATGAGTATCACTTGCATGTGGCAGTAGTAGACTGCGAGGGAACGAACCTTCATCATAAGTGCAGTCTATGGTCTCCGGAGGGACAACGCCCGGTTGCGGATGAGTCTTGGCATACTGGTACGACCGTATGCAAGTCCCGCATGGCTTTTTCGCGTCACTGCCCACGAATGATGAGCTTCAAGCGAGTGGCAGGGATTGGCGCCGGCTGACCATTTCTGAACAACGCGTCAGTATACATGAGTAGGCGCGCAGGTAAGAGTCTCGTACAAGCTTGCGTCTGTACGACGAGCGGCCACACCCCGTCAGCACTCGATCTCTGCCCTAGTTAACATGTATCGGCTCACTTCCGACATGTATGACAAGCCTGTCGGGCGCTTGGTCAATGTAGGTTCAAGTGAAGATGGTGGTCGAGATCCTACTTGGTTTCTCTAAAGCAAGGAGCGTGATCAGCACAATACAACGGCTGTCAACCCGCGAACCCACTTTCAATCCAGAAGCCGAAGCTGTCCCCGAACCAGAGCCCGAGCCTTTCGCCGAGGCAACCTTGGGCATCGAGATATGTCGGCTTCGCAAAGGTACACTACGGGTACGTGGGTAATCAGGTTAAGCAGATAAGAGCAAAGAATGTCGACGTCGCGCCGAAATGGTGAAGTCTGGTTTGTACTGCTATGAGGGACAGCCGTAAGACCCGCGCAGCCACAAAGGCCGGCGGTAGCCCGAGGCGGTGCGCACGTGGACCACCCACATCGGCCCATATGCAACGCCCATACGCCGTCAGAGGAGGCTCTTGACAACGACCCCTTTCGCCAATCTCTCCTCTTTCAGCGGCGTGATCTGACCAGATGAAGGCCTGTCCGATATCCTGATACTATCCGGCTTGACGATGCCACCACGGGCAGATCAAACATTGGTAGGCGATGAGCGTGGCACAACACGCCGGAGTTCGACATGTATTTGATCTTGCAATTGACGTAGAGTGGCATCAGATACAGTAGGTTTAAGATACAACGCGGGATAATAAACGGGTATAGGAGAGAGGAAGAATCAATATAGACTAGCGCCACACATCTTGTTCGCGATACTAGAAAGCAGCAAGCAGTAACCCTCTGCACGGCGTGATCAGTACACTGAAGAGGTTCTGCGAGGCAGCGATACTCACTGGCAAGGAAAATACGCTGTCCTATTTGTCCCAAGGCGGACGCGATGAACTCGACTTCGGTCTTGAACGTTTGCACCTGCTCCTGCGCGTCGACCTGAAGTGCCACTTGCCAGAACCTCAGAAGAGTCTTTCCGGCTACGAACCACGCCAGCTATGCAAACAAACAGATCAGTCGTAGAGCGTGGAGAACGGTATTGGGGCTTACGTTACAGATAGGATCCAGGAGTGATAGATCGAAGCTTGTCGATTGGGCCGAATACAGCAGCTCCAGTATCGCGCGCGCGGACCGCAAGAGATTGGCCGCAGACTGGCAAGTCCGGTTCTCCAGATGAGCATGCGGGTCGTGTAGATTGATGTTCGCCCTGCGGGTCCGTCAGCGATTGGCATTTCGCTAGGTTAGTCTAGTAAACGCACAAGTGGGGTAGAAGACACGCTGCGTATAGGTATGAGTCGATGCTTCCAAGCGCGAACGGGTCGCGAAGATGTGGTGGGAACGTATGGCGGAACTCAAGGGTGGCTTGATGGAGCTCGATGAATGCGCCGGTGCAGCGAGGGTCGTTCTTGTAATCGTAATCTTCTGAAATCGGGCACTCGGCTTCCCAGACGCGACGCCACATGCTCGAATACTGGTGACTGCCCGCCGCCTTGAACTACAGCTATGTTAGCACTCAGGATACAGGCGATCTGTGCTAGTTCGAACCTTTTCCCTGCGGAAATGAATATTGAAGTCCTTCACACGTCCCACAAGTGTGACGCCCTTGAGATATAGATTGAACGAATCGCACGTATCCGGGCTGTGTCGCAGGATAATATCGTCCTGTAAGAGGCTCTCGCGCTCCTTCGCTGGTGGATACGATTCCTACACATACCCACGTAAGCATCAGCATGACGGCGCAACAAGCGACGTACACCCAGAGTAAAGTTGAGCGCGTTGACCGGGAAGACTTGCGTGCAGTCCTCCTCGTGCAGAGCATGTGGCCAAAGGTTACCAGATTGGCTTAGCCTATCTAGCATGTAGGACAGCCAGAAGATGTTCCTACGCGTCTCCTCTTCGATCGCGTCTCGGGGTTCAGGGATGAGTGACAATCCTACCGCGGCCGTCGAGATGGGAGTAAAGTCTAGGTTCATTGACAGGCCCAGAGGACCGCAGCTACGCGTGATCTGACTGGTGACCAGGAAGACCTGAAAGATCGTATTGGTATGCTAAAGTGCGGTTGAACAATTCCACCACTCACTTCCACCCATTTTCCGTTCGACCAGTACCAAAACACACAAAGAAGCATACCTGTCAGTGTACTAGTCAGTCGAATGGTCTTTGAGTCAGGCATCGGAAAACGAACTTTGCATATTGTCAATCATGCGACGTCCATGCAGCGTATCCTGTTCGGTATGACGTCTGGAGAGCTTGATATGCGTCTCTGCGAAGCTATCCGTATGATCTGGCTGCTTCCACTTGTTCTGAAAAGCCTCGCCTGTAACGGACAGTTAGTGAATGCCGTAAGCCTGCCGCGTGGACGTACTCGGAGGCATGACACCTCCTCCAGGAGGCTCAGTCTGTGATATCACTGCGGTGTATTGACTGCCGACGGCGCATAAAGCATGTAGAACGGAAGTCGTTGGGAAGCTGGGATGAGTGGGGGGTAAACAGAGGTCGTTCATGAATGTCGGCTGATGGAAAAGGCGATTTGCGTGTGGGTGGAACGCAAAGAATGACTCTACGCTGTATAAACGTTAGCGCACTCGATGCACGCTCGAGACACTCCTCGCTCACAGATGCTTCAGGAGTTCAGGAGCAGGGAGATCTTCCGGCCACCCTGTATAGACGAGGTTCTGCTGATTGTCCGGGTAGTACGGAGTTCCAAGCGCAGCATCCATGAGATCTACTGAGTTCGGCGTAGACTTCGCGCCCTGATCCCTCGCGGGCGCGGGCGTGGGCTGTGCTGGCGGACGCTCCTCCCAGCAACCAGCACCGCTACCAAAGCCAACCATAAATGGGTCGACGTTGTTGCGCGGACTGGGGGCTGATGCGCTGGGAGAGCGTCCCGGCCCGTCAGAGCCGGCACCAGGCGGAGAAGCTGAGGGAGGTGATAACCCAGAAGATGAATGTTGCGACTGTCCACCAGAGGGCGTAGGGGGGAAGAGGGGGGACATCCCAGGCGACGAAGATGGATAGGTTGTCATTCCAGAGGGCATGGTTCCACTAGCAAGTGCCGACAGGAGATCTAGACCGTTATCGACCATAGTGGTGTTGCTCAGCGAAGTAAAAGGCGGGGGCGCCATAGTACCAGAGGTTTCCGGCGGGCTGGACATAATCACGCTTAGAACCCTAGAGACATCTGAATCCAATTAGGTCAACCGCGTGTAGGAGTAGGGGCGTGCACACCATTCATGGCGATGGGCTGCTGTATTCCGGATGACTGCCCGCGCAATAGTCCCTCGAGCTCCCCTGATAACATGTCAGTTACAGACCATCGAGAAGTGATGTACGACGCACGTATCCTATCTTCCAACTGCTCATAACGATCTCTGGGGATCTCAGGGAGCCCTGGAACTGGATGGGTTGTGAGCGATACTGCCGGTGGCACTGTAGCTTAGGAGAATGCACCTTCGTCATAGGTGCAGTCTATGGTCTCTGGAGGAACAACGCCCGGTTGAGGATGGGTCTTGGCGTATTGGTACGATCGTATGCACGTCGCGCATGGCTTCTTCGCATCACTGTCCACAATTGGTGAGTTTCAACCCGAAGGCAGACATTGAGCGCTTAGCGGACCATTTCTAAACGACATATTAGTATACACATAGCCGCGTATGGCCAGGTCACGTACAAGCTTGCGTCTAAATGGTAAGCAGGCACGTCTGTGAGCACTCTGCACTCCCGCACCGGTATTGGCTCACTTTCTACAAGTATGACAGGCCTATCAAGTGCGTGGTCAAAACAGGGTCATACGAACAAGGCGATATAGATCTTACTTGGTTTCTCTATAAGGGAGAAACGTGGTTAGTGGTTGGAAATGGACGCCCCTCATCGAGCGGCCGTCAACCCGCGAACACACCTTCAATCCAGAAGCCGAACCTGTCCCCGAACCAGAGCCCGAACCAGAGCCCGAGCTTTTCGCCGAGGCAACCTTGGGCATCGAATATGCTTTCGTGCGGTATACACTGCGAGGAGACGTGGAAGTTGAAGCTAAGTGTTGAGATCGTGAAAGGCGACTGCTGCGGGGGAATAGTGCTTTGTGGTCTTTACTGCTATGGAGGACAGCCGTAAGACTCGCGCAGACGCAAGCCCCGGCGATCAGCCCGAGGCGGTGCTCGCACATGGGACGCCTACATCCGCCCATAACAGAGTTAACCGCTGGCACCCATCTCGGCACCGAGGAGTGCAACAAATTGGCTCATGGACGACGTTGTTGGCAACGACCACGATCATCTGGCTTCTCTCTCTCAGGAGCGTGGTCTCCTCGCGGCTTGTAGCCTTCCCAGGCATGCGCTGCTCATGCCAATGATGGTGTTATTTTGGGCTTGCTTGAAGCCTGAAGTCTGATGTACAGGCTATGTTTAAGTATAGAGTCTCGAGTCGCCATTCGTTGAAGATATTCTATGCAGTTGTCGCCATCCAGACTCGATGTTACGTTGTATACGAACTCAGACTTCTAAACGGCTTCAGGGTGGCTGTGATGCTCCACCAGCCTAATGCTCTCGCCACTGAAGGTACTGGGGTCATGACGACGGGTCAACGGCGTCGGGGGCCTCGGACAGCGTATACACTACGATACCACCGATTTGGGCTCGCTGTTTGTGTCTTTGAACCCCATCGCATGTAAGATCATCTTTGCGGGGCGGGGGGTTTACCGTTGGAGCTCCACTGCTTCTAAGATACGGATGGTTGCTGGTTGACGACGGGGATGTTCTTTCAGCTGATGTCTCCTGATGCTCCTAATTCCGACCGGCGCTGTGAGAACACCAGCCTCTACGCCTATTCACGGGGTCTTCCGACCGCATTTGCGCCTGCAGTATAAATGACTGCATTGTAGCGTCCAGGCCCCCCAGCCGCGCTCCCCCATTCTTGAGCCCGCCTTATCCTGTGTTTTCGGGACTGGTCCCTTCATTCGACTGTTTTCAGCTTGCTGATATTCCCTCTTTTCGAGATCTACCCTCTTTGACGCTACCTTTCACTCTACTCTCGTCGACGCAACGCGCCTTTCATCATGCTTCCCAAGTACTTCGCTGCCGCTATTCTCTTCTGCGCGTCCGCAGTGACCGCCTTACCTGCGCCCAACCATGTGAAGGAAGTCAGCCTTCACAAGGGCGGTAACGTGAGTATTTTTATCTCACTCCTGACGTAACGAGCTGTTGTTTATCAATGGTGTTTAGGCGGGGTCGAACAACAACGCGACGGCTGACGCGACTGCAACTGCAACTGCAGCTGCCGCGGACAGCACTTCAACCGACGTCGCCTCCGCCGACGGCTCGTCCAGCTCGGCGGACTCCTCCTCCATTGCGGGTGCCTCTAACTCTACTTCATCCGCCACCGGCGACGCGGGCGCATCAAACTCGACCGACTGCTCGAACGCTGGTGCCGCAGATACTGGCAAGGGCAAGAAGAAGAAGGGCGGCGCCTCTTCCGTCGCTCAGGCTATCCACGCCGCTCAGCAAGCGAAGAAGAAGGGCGACAAGAACGGCAACGCAGCGCAATGCTCGTCCAACTCCACCTCTGACGCCGGTGCGAGCGCGTCCAACTCAACTTCGGCCAAAATACCTGAATTATGTCCCAAACGACTACAGCCCAGTGGCCCGTGGCCCAACGGCCCAAACAATCCTCACGTGCAGTAGCCCGAGAATCGTTTTCGACCGGGCTACTGGGCCACTGGGGCATTGTTTTCGTTTCGGCCGTAGACCTCGTGCGCGCGCCTTCATTATTCCCCGATTTCCCACCCTGGGCTGCATGGCTTCCCTCCCTGGGCCGGGCTACCGCTCTGTGGCGGGGTGAGCGAGGGCTGCCCGACCGCCACGATG